TTGTGTGCGATCAACCTCTAATCCAAGAAAGTGCTTCAGTTGTCCAAGTTCTTTCATCCTGAACTGAACTGACAAATTCTCCTTTGTTCGACGAATTTCTACCTCATCATCGCCAGTGATGATTAAGTCATCCACGTACACCAACATGACATCTAACTTTCCTCTATTAGCTTTAACGAATAAGCTGGAATTTGCATGTGCCACTGTGTAACCACTTTATGTTAGAAATTCTGCAATCTTACCGTACCAAGCCCTTGGTGCTTGTTTCAGACCGTAGAGTGTTTTCCTTAACTTGCACAAGTACTCGGGATGAGCTTTGCTTTCAAAGCCCATTGGCTGCATCATGTAGATCTCCCGATCTAACTCTCCATGCAAGAAAGCATTCTTCACATCCATCTAGTATAGATTCCAATCTTTATTAGCTGCAAGTGCAAGTAGGACTCGTATGGTCGTAAGCTGTGCTACTGGACTAAATGTTTCATCATAGTCTAGTCCATAATGCTGAGAGAAGCCTCGAGCCACCAACTGAGCCTGTACCTTTCAACTGAACCATCAGGACGGTGCTTTATCTTGTACACCCATTTGCAGGATATGGGTTTCACATCCCTTAGCTTTGGCACCAAATCCCAAGTCTGATTCTGCCTAAGCGTAGTGATTTATTCTTCCATAGCTCTTACCCGTTCAGAACTCTGTGATGCCTCTTCAAACGCCTTAGGTTCTTTTGCTGCTCCATCAGTTATGGCAGCATTGGCATATTTAGGATTTGGCTTTCATACTCTTGTTGACCTTCTTAGTTGTGATTGTGGAGTTGATACTTCCACTTCACTAGGTCTAACTTTTGTGGTTGTTGGTACACACCAGTTTGCCAATAACTCTTAGGTACTTCTTGCTTGATATCATCACCATCAAGCAGTTCCTCAAGCTTATCTGGACTCGATTGGATTTGGGCAGCTTGGTCTCCCATTTTCTCCTGTAATGTATCTTCAACTTCTCTCGAGTCAGGCAACTCTTCATTTTCTGAGCACCACCAAGAAGATGCTTCAGCGTCCCATTCTTCCACCATAGCTAAAGACGCTATGGCATCCCAATCATCTTCACTTTTCTTCTCTGAGTTGGCGACGTTACTTTCTGCAGGCCTTTTGAACCAACAATCCTTCGCCATGTGGCCTTTCTTTCCACAATTGTAGTACTTGCCCTCAAATCTTTTATTATTCTGAGACTAACCACGGTTGTCGTGATACTTCAGAGCTCCCCTTGGTCAAGAACTCCCTCCTCTTTGATGACCTTTTTCCTTGTCACCCTTTCTTTTAGATCCACCACCAGCATGCTGCTTAAAGCTGCCTTTACTTTTGGTGTAAAGCGCTTCCTCCTCACCTCTTAACAAGACCCCTCCCATTTGCTTTGCCAAAGCTTCTTGATCAGCAAGCAAATTCTCAAACTCAACAAGTGATGGTTGGGTTGGCCATCCTTGTACAATGGCAACGAAGCCTCGATATTCTGGTCTCAATCCATGGATAATTATTTCTTTTTATCCTGGATTCTACAATGGCAGCACTGGGATCTAATTCAGAAATTTCACGGCAAATAGACTTTACCTTGTGGAAATACTACGCAATTGTCATGTCCTTTTGGGCCACTGATAACAACTCGTTCTCGAGAAGCTGCAGTCTTGTATCGTTCCTTTTTGAAAAGAGTGTGGCGAAGGTGTCCCATGCTTCTTTTGGTGTCTTGGCCTTCCGTATGTGCTCTAACATGTCATCTTCAACTGTAGTTTTTAAGGCAAACATGGCCTTACCTGCCTTGATCTTCCACTTCCTCAAAGTGCGCTGGTGTCTTCTTCTGGCTGCATAACTTCATTACGGCCGACGACATCCCAAAGATCTTGGCCTTGTAGGTAAGACTCCATACACGTCGCCCATGTGTTGTAATTTTTGTTGTTCAACTTTTTGATTCCTCCAACAACTTAAAGGTTTCCCATAGTGTCGGCAGAGCTTCGATAAGCCGAACAAGATTAACGAATAATCTTGCAAAGTACTAAACTTCTCACGATTCTCAAAAGCTTCAATAGAGACGGTCCCTGATCGTACCGCTCTGATACCAATTGTTGGGAAAATCTTAGAGTACACAACTCTAACACAAGTGTTGGAGAGACAAAACAAGTAAACAAATTACTTGTATTAACTCACAAAATATTACAACACACAAACTATCAAGGACACTCTAAAAGCAATGACACTCACTCACTTTATAGAGACAAACTCTAGACTACTCACACTCTTACAAGACTACTATTTCTTCTCACTCTCACTTGGTTGCTTGCTTGCTTGATTACAAGCTTACTTGGTTGCCTACTTCTACTTCTTGATTTCTTGGTTGGTTACTTAGCAACACACGCGCACACACCTATTTATAGGTGTGGTTTTGCCGACTACAATTGCCCACCGCCGTTGGGCTTTGTATGGCAGCCACACAATTGTACAAGCTGCTAGGACTTTCTAGCACATTATTATACACACACACCCACCGACTAAATAGGATAATGCTAGAATTATCTAGCATATTTATATGCCTGCATGATGCACCGACTTTGGTGCTACAATTTTCTGGATTTGTGTAGAAAGGGCTGGGGTTGGTCTCTTTTAACAAGGGAGATGGAGGAGATTGCGGCGGAAATCGGTTGAGATGAAGAAATTATAACACAACGCAAGGGTTTACTTCTATTGACGTTCCATTCTAATAAACTAAAATAACGTTGTTCCGCAGCCACCAAATGACAATAAAATAGCTTTCTGCAAATGATTTGACTTCAAAATTCAATTTTGGTTTAATTGACTTAACTATTTTTAATACAACTTGATTAGTGTAATCAAAGAGACAATAGCTAAGATATGATTTCTTTAAACAAATATAGCATTTTCCTTTTAATACGACTCCTACAATCTTCTCAATTGTGATTCTGCCAACGAGGACAAAGATTGTCTTGTGACCACTGTATTATTATAGTGGTATTATGGTGCAATAAGCAATGGAAAATGCAGATTAAATAACTCATTTTGAGGAGCTATGATTATGAGGACTTCTTTTACATGAGCTCTTGGATTAATCTAACGATAGCAAAACTAATGATGTGAAATAATCTTGTTATATTTAAAGAAAATGAAAACACGTGAACTAAGTAAAAAAATTAGGGTTCAGACTCATCCAAGGTTTTAAAAGACGCTAAGCACTAGTCGGGCGACGAGCTGGGGCCTAGCGCCTAAGCGGCTAGGCGAGAGCCTAAACAGACTAGGCGGATTTAAGTAAATTTATATATATATAAATGATTTGACTTCAAAATTCAATTTTGGTTTAATTGACTTAACTATTTTTAATACAACTTGATTAGTGTAATCAAAGAGACAATAGCTAAGATATGATTTCTTTAAACAAATATAGCATTTTCCTTTTAATACGACTCCTACAATCTTCTCAATTGTGATTCTGCCAACGAGGACAAAGATTGTCTTGTGACCACTGTATTATTATAGTGGTATTATGGTGCAATAAGCAATGGAAAATGCAGATTAAATAACTCATTTTGAGGAGCTATGATTATGAGGACTTCTTTTACATGAGCTCTTGGATTAATCTAACGATAGCAAAACTAATGATGTTAAATAATCTTGTTATATTTAAAGAAAATGAAAACACGTGAACTAAGTAAAAAAATTAGGGTTCAGACTCATCCAAGGTTTTAAAAGAAGCTAAGCACTAGTCGGGCGACGGGCTGGGGCCTAGCGCCTAAGCGGCTAGGCGAGAGCCTAGACAGACTAGGCGGATTTAAGTAAATTTATATATATATATCGTATAAATAAGTGTCTGCTTATTCTTAAAAAATATATAATTTCATTAGGATACATAAACTATAGAATAAAATGACATATAGATTATAAAGTATTAAAACATAATGAAAACATGGGGCTTATGATATGTTTTCATCTAAGTATTCAATAAGTCTTTTACAAAAAACAAAATGAAAGTTATCTATTTTATTTCTAAGTAAGAGTCGCAACCTAAGTGAGTACTTAGGCGGGTTTGGACGGTTTAAACAGTCTAGACGGATGCCTAAATAGGTTTAGGCGCTATTTTTTTTAATTTTCAAATGACAAGAGATTAATCGGAAGGAATTCGACAATTGGGTAGTTGCAGTTGTCAATTTCGAAGACGATATTTGATCGATCTTCAATTTCCAAAACCAAAATGATGAGGGATCCTAATTTCACGACCAATTGTGATACTTTATGCCGCTAGTTGTATTTTAGTTGTTGATTTGTCTTCCCTCTGATTTGTGGACCTTTTCCGATTTACATCAGATATGGGATGGTTCTGATCTTCGCCTCCACCTTTGACCACAAATAATTACTGAGCTTCGGATCTCATCCTTTCCATGCCTTTTCTTCATACCTTGGATTTGAAGTTGGCTTATTTTGTTTAGGTATAATGGGATTATACAACCTCATCAGTTTTGGGGAGCAGCCATATGTGAGTTTCTATAGCAAATTAACCAACAAAAAAATTTCTTTAAAATTAGGGTAAATTACATTTTACCCCCTTAGTTTTGGAGTCTATTACAATTTCTTACAATATCTTTAAAACATTTCAATCTCTTACATTTACTACTATTTCATTTCAATTTCATACAACAGTTAAAATAGTGATGTGGCAAATATAAGGCACATATTTTTTATGACGTGGCAAATAAAAATAGTTAAAAAATCAATTTAACAACAAAGCAAAATTAAAATAAAGTAAACCCCACCCAAATTTGTTCCTGTTGTCCTGTCATCGTTCTTCCAACATCCAAATTTGTTCCTGTTGGATTAATAATCGCCATCATTTGTATTTGGTGCCAATAAGATATTTAAAACTTTTCAACTTAGTATTACGATTTAATAATTTTTTTTTTATTTGTACGAAAGAATATTATATACGATTTTAATAAATATCGAGTTTGATATCGCTTATCAAGCAAAGCACATTCCTCTATAAGTCATACAAATACAAAAGGAACTTGACAGACACTCATTTTTACAAATTCAGAGGACAAGTAACTAGACTTCTAGCTTAGACTCATACCTCCAAATAACAACTTGATTGAACATGGCCCGAGTACTTGTGAGGTGTCTCTAGTTTTGTCCACGTGTAATCTTCCAAATGCAGTACGTAAGCCATGTGGGGCTCACCGAACCCAGCACTCCCTATCACTAATACTTTACCCTGCCACGCTGTCACGCAATCGGGATTGCGCACCTGAGCAGGCAACTTGGCCACGAATTTCCACGTGTCGTGTTTTTGCTGTACCACATCGTCGCCACGACACATGTACATTGTCTCATCGTCACCGTCCACACATGTCCGTGGACAAGTGGCGACTTGTAAGAAGCCCTCTTGTACTTGATTCCACAGCCACGTGGAAATGTTGAATGTCTCGGTGCTCCTCTCGAAACGTCCTTGCATTTCAGTGCAATATCCGCCGATGACGTGGAGCTTGCCACCCTGGAAAATCGCCTTACATTCGTCACGCTCTCTTGCCATATCAGGCAACGGAATCCACTCGTCTTTTGCCACGTCATACGCCATTGATGATCTCAACGCATTCTTCTCGTTGTCATGTCCGCCGGCAACATACACCATCCGCTCCGAATCCGCTGCGCACCCAAAGAATATCCTGCCATCACCCGGCATGTCAGTCCCACGCCGCCATGCTCCGGACACAAAGTTGTAGATAAACACAGCTTTCGAGATCGTCCACGTAAGCGGGTCGCAGCCACCCATCACCACCAAATCGGACCCAACTGCTGCCAATTGGCAAAACATGGGTAGCCCATTGGCAAAACCGGCAAGGAGAGGCAACTCGGACCAATTACCCAAATCCGGTTCACAAATAGTGAGCCGGTAAACCGGGCTACCCGGACTCTTGAAGACACCATGGTTTGAGGACCACATGGGCTTGAACCATCACAATGAGTCTTTGGCTGCGGCCAGCAACCTTCCTATGCTGAAGAAACACCGGCAGCTCAACCTCCGCCTTCCACCCTTTACACACCGATACCACTGTCGGAAACTGGTCGTATTCAACACGACTTAGACAGTCATATGCTATATCATCCGGCAGGCCAGAAATCAGCGCCATGGTACAAGATTTGGTACCAACAAAAAGCAGAAACTTGGTATGCAAAAACAACAGAGGATTTGACGTATAAATTCTGAGAGACTGGTTTTTTGAACCTGAAATATTGGGACTGCTTGGAAGGGAATTTTTATAGTGTTTGATTGTTGTGAAGAAGGGAGGGTCCTGGTTTAGTGTTTAATGTTTCCTCCTACCGGTTTTATTGTATTTATATATATAAACATAAATTCTAGACAGAAAGGTTTGGTCGATTTGGACAATTTAATAAGGCCTTTGATATTGTCAATTTTCACATTCCCATTAACGGACTCTATGTGCCAGCATTAATATTCTCCTATATTTTAATTTAATTAATTTGTCATCATCTAACAATTGTCACCACGCAACATTTAATTAGATTATAAAAATGGAAAAACATTGTGGATTAGGAAATTGGGGTGCCGCAGTCGGTATCTTCTTCAACGTAACTTGCAGGTTTTCTTGTATTCATTGACAAATTTTGGAAGTACATGCATGTGATGCCATGTGGAAGGGAAAATTGCCAAACAATATCAAACTTGAGAAAATTCAAGTCCATTTTGCATGTTATTGAAAAATATATTATTAAATTTTTTTTTCTTTACAAAGGGGACCGTCATGGCAGTCCATCTTTTCGAAGATCAGAAAGACTTATAGAGGTATTTTAGTCTTTTCCTGGTCACAATCTTACAATTCTCCAGCACCAAGACGTGCCATGTGAAATATAAGCTTGAAGTTCATCCCCGATCACTGGGCCACCCTATAATGATTATATGGAATACATGAATGTGTGTGAAAGCCTACTATGTGCATCGTAATGTATGCAAGCACTACGAGGCCATTTCAGCATGACCGCCCAAGCTAAGAATGAGAGTCTCAAAGCCTACTTGAAGCAATTCCATGCGGAATTGGTAAAGATCGAGAAGTCGAACGACAGGCTCACTACAATGGTCTTCAAACAGGGACTCTATATCCACTCGCCTCTCTCCCAAAAGGTGAAAAAGAAGAAATATGACTACACCATCCTGACGAAGTGCTTTGATATCGCTGATGACCTCATCGATTCGGAGATAAACTCGGAAAGAGAGCTCGATCCGGATCACGATAGAAGGTCCAACCGAAGAAGAGATGATCAAGATACCCCTTCGCTCTCCTCGTCGGAATGACAGGAGAGGATGTAAGGATAAGCAAGCTCCACCAAGCAAAATCAATACACGACCTTCCTCTCGTCAAAAGGCTCAAACCTCTTTCTGACCATTTGGCCCAGAAAAGCCAAATGAATACTACTCCTTCCACCAGTGCGCTGGTGACAGCACCTAAGTTGTCGCACTCTCAAGATCAAATCGATGAGCTACTCAATTAGGGTCATTACTGGAAGTTTGTCAAGAGCAAAGCCATGAAAGAGGAGTCTGCTGAGAAGAAGAATCAAGACAAGTCGAATCGGTATGAGCTTAGTGCCGGTTGGTAATTGTTCGTTTTTATTTTAAGTTTTTTCGGTTCGAAGATAAGTAGAATGAAATGTAAGAAGATTATAAAAACTAAAAACCAAAATTTATTTTAATTATTTTCATTTATTCTTCTTTCATCTATTTCCGCTTATTCTACCGCCCTTCTTTAGCCCTCCTTTTTTTTTTATATATATTTCCAATATTTCAAGCACAAAAGGTAAAATTAAAAATGAAAAATGAAATGATTACTGAACAACCGCTTAACACATCTTTACCATTAGTATTTCACAAGGTCCATTCCAACCATAATGACAATAAGGTGTGCAAGTAGCGGATTACCTTGGTGGTTAAAGCTTTTCTACTCAACTCACTGCATCCCGGATTCAAACTCTCCTCCCTCCTCTTGGTGTAGATTGATGCAAAAACGTATTAAAAATAATAATAATAATAATCAGCCACGAAAATGTTATTAGATGAGTATTAAAAATAATAATAATAATAATAATATATAATAATAATAATCAGCTACGAAAATGTTATTGAATGATTAAAGAACATGTGAATTTCATAGTCGTTCTCATGATTCCCATATGTGTACTAACTTAAGAACATAAACACATGGTGAGGATATGACTAGGAAAGCAATGTCGGTTATATTTTAATTAGAACCGACATAACTTACTCAATCATTACTGGCAGAGTAGATGCTAGATTGTTTATGATCGGCCAGCAAAGTATGCTTGTGCATGCAATCATATTAATACTTGTAATTTCACCAAATTGAAGTCAAACGAAAGCATTGCAACTTGTTGCGGCTTAAAAGTATTAAAAAAAAAAAAAAAAAAAAGGAAAGTTTGTTAAGAGTCAACATGTTAGTTCATCATTCGGTCTCGCTTCTGTGCAAAAATAGCATCAGAATATTCAGGACACCTTTGGATTAGGTTCAAACCAGGACAATTTTTCAAGCCATTCCCGTACGTCAGGGCCGGCGTTTACAAATTAGTGCTGTTAGCATCGAAGTGTTGTTTTACGCTAGAATGATTGAGAGATTTTGTGTGTGTTTATAACATCAAATTTTAATGACGCGTCAACAAATAAGATGGAAGGATTGAGTCGATAGACAAGCATCAAATTGGATAGAATAAATTGAAATCCATTAGTATCTCGGAATTAAAAAAATATATAGAAAACCTTTAAAGTTCAATTGATAATAATGTGAAGAATCTGAATAACAACTCCAAGATGAGCCTTGTATAGGTATCAAACCCTAATCTAGCGGTAATTGGAAATCAAGTGAATGAAGGAAATATAAAAATAAAAAAAATTGGAGAAATGGAAGCCTAATCCGTATGGGAGAAGGAAAAATAAAATTACCCAAAACTCAAACTTTCGCAAAACTATTCAAGCAACTTGAATTTTCCAACAATAAGCCTTTCCTTATTTTATCACAAAATACTTTATGCTTGAACATGAATTTCCTTTCATGCGTCATCTCTTGCCAATGCTCGACCATTTCATTTTCTTTAACTTTATCCACTTTAATCGACCCCCATCTTGTCCTACAGCATTTAGTTTAGTATTATAGCAGTTTTACTCATGTGTGAAGCTTAATGAATATACGTTTTTCAAGTCACCTAATATGTGAGAGCTAATATGAGTTAAGAACGTGTGTTTATAACCTCAACTTTTGGCTGATGTCCAGCATATCAAAAACTTATCGTGCGTTGTCTGTCTTTATAAAGAATAGAGCTACTCTCTATTAGTAATTAATTTTAACGTAAAATCTCAATTTCCTTTCGGCAGCAACAAGAAACTTCATAAAAAATTATGAAACCTCTGCAAATTGTGATGGATTTTACTTTCCGATTCTAGGTAGGATGTCATTATTTGATTACAAGACCGTGTGTACAAGGAATCATATATATGGAAGTTTTGGAAACAATGAGCTTCCGTTCCATACAGATGCCGTTATTTGGCCGCAAAACAATGTGCATTTTTGGTTTATAAAGTTTTTTTATAGGAGAAACGGTAGTGGGTTTACAAAGCATTTTGTTTTGCAATTGGATATGTGGTTTTCATATAGCATTTTGTTTTGAAATTAAATATGTGTCTGCTTTCTCTTGGTGTAGATAATATCGTTTGTTTAAAAAAAAAGTGTGAAGGCTAACAATATGTCAATATAACTAGATGTGAGACTATCTTGAAAATAAAATAGTATCATTTCGGTCTTGCTTGTACGTACAAGAGAGACTATCATGTTACAAGTTTAGTGAAGGAGTGACATCTTTTGCAAGTTATCAAAAAATTATGCAAGGTTTTGTCCTAGGGAGCGTTATCTTTCCAATTGGTTGGATATGGTTATGTGGGTAGATTTTGTATAGTATTTCTGTTGCATTTTCTTGTTTGTTTAAGAAAACTGTAGTAATATTCATTTCAGAAAAAAAAAAAAAAAAAGGATGTCTTTTTGTTGCATTTGAAAGTACTAGAACGGTTCACATGTTCGTTTATATCAAAGCATAGGATTGAAACAGACTTGCAATCCTATTAGCAGCAACGAAATATAAAATCAATTGGCAACACACAATACACACCCATGTAGGATTTAATGAGGTAAAACCCACTACTATGAAAATCTTCTAGCACTTTGCTAGGCAGAAAACAATCCACTATAAGTCAAACAAATACAAAATGGACATGACGTAAACTAGATCTTACTAGACATGTACTAGAAGGCAGTTTCATCCTCCGCAGCCTTGCTACTTGAGTATGCAACTTGCTTTCTCCACATGAAAGTCCACAAAACTGGTCACGGTTGTCGATTACTCCAACACAAACTTTGCACAATACTTCTCAAACGCATAAGAGATCCGCGATCACGCGATATGAATGATATAAATAATTTAACACAATAAATCAATTACGAGAATCACAAGAAACATTCTTATATTGATATTAAGATTAAAGCACAAAGTAGACCATGAATGATTTCTTAATTTTTCTCTAAAAAAACCTCTTTGCAATGTTATGCTCTCAGTCTCCACGCAAACATGCGGCGGCCTTAATGCGCACGCGCGCACTCATATATTTATGTTGCCTCTTATTTTAACCTAGCATGCGGCTACAATACTAATGGGTTGAACTAACCTAATCAATAAAGCTTTATCAAATAAACACACTACAATTACCAATTTAAATGCTACAGCCCATTGTATTTAACAACATTAGTTAATCAACATTTAACCTTCAACTAATAATCGACCTAGTATATATGCATGCACATGACAAACTTACCTGAAGCAATGTCTCTGGTTTTGCTTGACGTTCTTGAGATCAAAATCCGGAGGTATTTAGACTCAACAATTACATATGAAAATCAATACTAGTCTAAGAAAAATACAGACACGTGCATTTTGTTAAAAATTACCAATTTTTCGCACTAACAACATTTGTAACCATGAAATTTTATTTCTCGTGAATGATGTTCTTCGTTTTATTTGATTAAAGAAATATTATTGCCTTAAAAAAAAGTTTACAAGTTTACTATCGTCTATCCAGGATCATTCATATAAGGGATATGCGTATAAATTCCCTTCACATGGCTATGTATTTGTGGCCTAAACACCGTAGCGCGACAAACTCGTTAAGATAAAGTCCTCAGATTACACTGTGTGTCTCTACATCTTTGTGTGTCTGTATAAATATTAGATAATATGTTGTATGTGTAGTGCTCATCTCAGTAG